GCTCTTCGTGTGTGTGTGTGTATGCGTGTGTGTGTGAGACAGAGACAGAGAGATTGGTTGCATTTTGGACAGTGAGTTTATTATTAGTAATAGTCTTACTAAGGACATACTCACACCGGGCACTCAAAATTGCAGGATCACAAAATCAGCGGCTTGATCAAGTCCTCCATGGCTAATGCGTGCTGCTGGTGTGTGTGTGTGTTTTTCAGCTATGTTGGAAGGGGACGTGTCTGACGCATGTGGCCGCTGTGGAAAAATGTTTCCCAAAGGTGGGAGGGAAGGAAAGGGTATTTTGAGTTTATTGTTGGCCAGTGTCAGTCGAAGATGTTGACTAGAGGAGAAGGGCTCCGATCAGTCCAATGTACTTTTGTTCTAATGGGCACAAGGTTGTGTTTCTTTAAAATTAACAAATTTATTTATTTATTTTTTTAAACAAGGGTATGTTTCTTGTGGGCATGATAACGAAGGAATCCCATTTCGTGTTTGCTGATGACAGTGTTCTTCTCTACTTGCAGATGCCTGAGATCGATGGGTATGAGGCAACACGAGAGATTCGGCGATTGGAAAGAGAGGTGCATCCTTGGAACCAGGAGAATATGTCGAAAACAAGTGGTGTGAAGATCATTGCATGCACTGCGGTATGTGATGCTTGCTTTTTTGTCCATTCGGCTGCTAAGGAGGGACTCAATCTTGACTTCTCAGGCAATCTCTTTTTTGCCTATTACACCCTCCTCCTCAGAGTTTCCTGTATATCCATAATCTTGGCTTATCGTCTTTTGTTTCATTGGCATCCATGTTCTGCCCAGAGTGAGGAGTTGGTCGGGGTCGGCTGGGAAGTAGAGTTTCAGCTACGCGAGTGCGGAAATGTTAGTAGTTGTTATGCATCTAGTGGATTGGCATCAACGAACCGGACGCAAGTATCGCTGTCATGTATAACATGATCTGGTCTAAGCAACACAGTGATCGGCTCGAGGATAAACAAAACATTGCAGTGGTGCATGGTATAGGAAATGTACGGTATGGTGCTGGGTTGATGAGCTGCTAGATGGTGGAGTGAGAGGCTTCATTTTAGGAATTTCCTCTGCGTGATGACATCGCATGGCCTAGTTTAATAGGTTGTTTGGGTTCCATTCTGCATGCTTGTTCTTCACACGCATACAGGATGCCTGTCTGGGATATAAGCCCAGAAGTTGAGTTTCAGTTATGCAAGAAATGAAAATGTCAGTTTTAACTTCTTATTACTACAGGTTTAACCCCGAACATAACGCATATGCGTTGTAAACGAATACAACACATAGGTTGCTTTCTATTCGAATAGCATGCAGATGCTATCAGCCCTTGTTTTCGAATACAACGCACATGAGTTCCATTCAAATTTTTGAATTTTTTGAAAACTCGAATACGACGCATATGCGATATGTTTGGGGGAAGACGGTAGCTCTTAAGTACTTTTTACCCTGAATTGGCATGTCCTGTCTGTCGAGACGCGTGGCATAAGTATCATGACCGTTTATGACACAATTTGGTCAGACCAGCACAGTCATCGAGGGTATAGCGAAACTTTTTTTTTTCTTTTGTTTCATCTTTTTTTTACTTTTGCCTTTTTTGTTTGTTATTATTTTGTAAAGGTGGAAGGGCCTTGCGGCACCACTTAGGGTAGGCCTCTTCGATCTCTCCCAGTGGCATATTGAGAAACGCTTGTACCCCAGAGGCATTTAAACCACCGGTGCACAAGAAACCTTTAAGCCACCTGTGCGCAAGAAAAGTAGTGCTCGTACCAGTATGCGCGGTAAGAGCATTTCGATTCAGGCCTGGGCCGGTAGCAGGAGCGGTGGCAGGCCACTTTGAAAAGGCACAGTTGCAGGCTCACGAGGTAGCTTCGTCAACTTAGGCTAGTCTGTCTGAACTGGTAGTTTTGGGGGGAAAGGGGGGGGGAAATCTATGTAGGCTGCATGAAAGTGAGGGTGAGTGTGGTGGACATAGAACTTCCAAAGATTAGGCTGCATGCAAAGATTAGGCTGCATGGTCAGGAAGTCAGTGTAGGCTGCATAGCAGACCCCAAGAGCTGTCTCTTATACACATCTAGATGTGTATAAGAGACAGGGGGAAGGGGGAGGGGGGAAGGGGGAGGGGGGAAGGATATTTATGGTCTTTTAGAACAAGAGACCTGCCTTTTGAAATCTGTCTATGGGGTTGTAGGGTGGGAGTTTTACTGCAAGATCGACTTACCGCCGTGGCATTGTGGGTGCAACACTCCCACCATGCTGATCTCCTAACAGTCGCATGCCCGATGTGATGCAATCTGCGGTAGTCTGTCTTTACGGGTGGCTTGATTTCCAGTTGGGAATTGATTATCTTGCAACACTCCCACCATGCTGATCTCCTAACAGTTGCATGCCCGATGTGATGCAATTTGCGGTAGTCTGTCTTCACTGTATGTGTTAGAGTGCTGACTGATGTGTTTTGGACAGGTGATGGGTCTGTGATGCACTGTCCTGCGGTAAATATTGAGCAGTGCTGTAGAACATGGTGATCAACTGTTGATGATTGTGATTGCTGGTGGTTGTGTTCCCCGGTCCAGGATGTTTTGAAAGGCACGCTGGAGCAGTGCATCCGAGAAGGCATGGATGACTATGTACCAAAGCCAATAAGCTCAAAGCAGCTGAGAGCAGCACTACGCCGGGCGTTTGGGCTTCATCAGGATGAGCAATAGATGCGTGCAATGGTCATTCGTTGATGCTTCCTTTCTTTATCCGATAGAGTGACTCGGTTTCGCCCTGCTGCCCTTGCCTTTTGCGAGAACGGGGGCAAGCAAAGATGGCAGTTAGGGCTGTCTCTCCGGTATTTGTTCTCTGCTGTTTGCCCGTCAAGCGTAACCTGTCACATCTTGCTTCTATCAACAATCGTGGAGACGTGTCATGGATCAAGCCAATTACCAGCTCATCAGTCTTGCTCTCCCCTATATGGCACTGAGTGCTGCCCAGTGGCCACTGGTATACCACTGGCATGACCTTCTTCTCGGTCGTGGTTCGTGTGCTCAGCAAGACTCGTACTCCACTTGTGCCAGCAGATACATTTGTCGCTACACTGTTGGTTACCATTGCTATGGTTGTAGATTTCGCAGGACCAGTGAATCATCCAATTGTGCTCTGGTGGAGGTTGTGAATCATCATCATCATCATCATCATCATCATCGCTACCCAGTGGCTATCTGGACCAGGTGACTCGTACTCCACTGGACCTCAGGCAAGGCAGTGGAGGTTGTGCTCTGGTGCAGGTTGTAGATTTCGCAGGGTGTCCACGAGTTGTTTTCCCGTTGTTGTTGTCTTTTCTTCCTGTTTTTTTGTTCTTTTTTGCACATTTTTTGACAGTTTCCCCTGTCCTTTTAGGCTCTGATGTCGCGCTGCCTTTACCGGACAACATGTGATCGATCGTTTTTCATTTGAGGTCTGGTTGTACATGTTGAGAGGCAGGAATGCTGGAGGGGGAGAGATCATCAGAGGATTTCGATAGCCGGTGTCTGTTGGAGCCTATGGTCAATGTGTATATTGAAGCAATCTTGCTGGTGAGCGTTGGTGGCGCCCATGGCATTTTTGCGGGACGGAGTCTGAACAGACTTGATCGAGCCATCTCTCAAGTCAACAAGGCAAAAGCGGAGGCGATTGTGGCGAACAACATGCTGTCTTCTGTGGATTATTATACTCAGAACCGAGGAGAGAACCATAGGGCTTCATCTTTCAGGGAGGGGTACAGTGTCTCTTTGCTGAAGCTCGGCGAGAGGTTCCGTTTTCATCCGCGCTGCTGTTTGCTTCCGGATTCAAGCTCTGTCTTTCAGAAGGGTCGTGCCAGAGAGGAAACGACAGTTTGCACCTTACCTAGGCTGCTTAGAGGTATGTCTCTCTCTTTTTCAAGCATGCGATGCCATTTGGGACAGAGTAGTTCCAATTTCTTCTTCGTCTTCTCCACTTTTGTATAAGATCTAGCTTTAAGCACCCTCTGTTTTCCAATGTTTCTTTTTTTCAGACCCTTTTCCAGAGGGGGGGGGGGGGTTACCCCAGTTTCTTGACAAAAAGGGGCCAGTCCTTGGCAGTGTTAGTGCACTTCACAGTTTTGATCATCGGTTATCAGATTACTGTTTTTTCGTTGCCCAGGCTTTCCCAGTTTTCATCAGATTCTTTCTGAGGACAAGGTACGAAGGTCCAGCTCTCAAGCTCCAGGTTTCCCAGGCCACTCCTTTCTATGGTGCCAGCTTTCAAACATTCATTGAAACTGCGACGCTATCGGAAATAGGGGCCCAGACATCAGACCCCCTAAAAGCAATGTCAGAAAAGTTATGTCAGGATTGCCCCTTGTCTGCACTTGTTGACGCATTTTGGCTGTGTGTGCTGGAAACCCCTCTAGACAACACTTGGGGGGTATCTTGTACCGTGCAAGGCACGGAGGGTTTGCGTAGGTTACTACTGGTCATGACACCGGTTATTTCGTCTTTTGCATTTCGAGCTAACAGGAGTAGAATGCCATTTTAAGAGACCAGAATCATTGGGGACTGAAGAGGCACCAGAAGCATAGTAATTATACTTTTTTCTGTTCAGTTCTTCTTTTGCCGGAGTTGCTCCCGTTACCTCAGATGTTCATCTCACGACAGCTATTGGTTTTCTGCGGGCAAATTTTCATCTCGTGCTGGTGGTGGTGGTCGTCTGCGGGCTTGGGTGGTGGGGGCACTGGGGGGGCTGGTTGGGGTTTTGGAATTTCTCTGGCTGTGTTTTTTGCAGATCGATGGCAGTGGAATTTTAGCTGGGGGACAGGTCAACCCATCCAGTTAAAGCCGCTCTCGCCTTGCATGAGCCGTCTCTCCTGCAGCCTTCACATAAGCAGAAGGGCTGTTGTAGGTCCGAGCTCTCTCCTCCGTAACAGACATGGCCAGCAACGGACTCACACAGACGTCGAAAGTATCAGGTGTTTCCCCCTGGCCATGGAATGAACTTCACGAGTGCTTGTCAAGGAAGCGCATGCCGGGACGCTTCTGTAGGGAAGGGGGTCCCGGGGGGGGGGGGGGTGAGGAGGGACGGTCGCATGCGCCAGGACGTTTTTTCTGCCTCTTGAGAACATGCACTTTGGAGGCAGGAAGCTTGTGTTTGGGAATGAGAGGAGGGAGGCTCCATCTGCGGCGAAGGCGGGACATGTAAAAGGCATTTCTGAGTTTGCAAAGCACGAGAACCTGTCAGTCGTGGGTCGAGTTGCGTGACAGTATCGTATGCCCACCATGACGTAACCTGTCAGAAGTGACAGCGGCTAAATGACATGACCTGTTGTGAGAAGGCATGGCACAGCAAGGCATGGCATGGCATGCCTGCCAATATGTAAGACCAGCATTGATGTTTGGTGGCCATTGTTGCCGCTTTTCCAATGCTGGGACTCTTGGTTGTCTTTCTTGGTGCCCAAGGAGCAAATAAGGTTTTCAGTCCACTTCATAATAATTTTGCAGGTGACTGCAGGCCAGGTTTCTGAAAATCTGCACTTACATACAAACATACCTACATATATGTGATGGCCTGCTAGTGGAACTTGTCCAGGTTCCGTGGCCCGGAGTCGATGGCCCTGCTATGGGATGCTGTTCGCAGCTGCGTCGTTGATGAAGTTAGTATGTTGTCTATGCCAGATAAATCAAGCAAACGAGTCACCGGAGGCGGTGGAGAGGGGTAGAGAGAGGGGTAGAGAGAGGGGTAGAGAGAGAGAGAGAGAGAGAGAGAGAGAGAGAGAGAGAGAGAGGCTCAAGTGTCAGACATGTGGAGGAATTATGGATTTCACATGCATTGCATACAAGATTGCAAATGGGATTTTAAGCTTTCCTTTTTAACTATGCGCAGGTGCACTTATCATCTTGTCCCAGAACTGTTGACATCAACTCCGAAAGCTTTAAATCTTCTCTGATGCTTTCGTTGCCAGTGCAGTGGGTCGGCTGCACTGCTAGACCAAGTCATGTCATCTTGCAAGCAGCTCAACTTGAGTGGAAAAGATCGTATGGAACCGGCAGGCAGTTTCTGTCATCAAGTTCAAGGTGCTTGCTGTCAAGAAGTGAGAGAGCATGGTGATCAACGGAAGCCTCGCGGAACTTACATCTTGCTGCTGTTCTTGGAGATTTGAACATCATCGTGCGGTCTGCGGCCGTTTTCTTCCTCGACAAAGTCCCGGGATCTCGGCCAGGACCCAGTGATTTCAGGTGTGTTCTTTCTTGTCCGTGTCAGAATGAGTCGGAGAACCGCATGCACCGCATGTCATCATAGCTGCATGATTATGTTGGAGTAGTAAAATCCAAGGCACAATGCACCGGTCCAATTCTCTTGTAGCTTGGAAACTAGTTTTGTGTTCAAAATGTGACAAGGTTGGTTTTGCAGTCCCCGTGACTGTCTATGAATCAACTGGGGAGTTGAGTTTGTTGCGGTGTAGGATTGTGTCCGTCCATCTCTCTCAATCGTGCACCTTGTGTTTTTTTTAATTACCGCGCACTAGTTCCTGTCTTGTATGCTCTTATAGTACAAACAGCGATAAGCCACAGTCAGCTGCAAGAGCCGCTGTGAACCGAGTTAATCTACACGCTTGGTGTCCTTTTGTATTTGCAGCTGCTTTCGTGTGGAGAGAGAAGTCCATTTGCATAAGCGCACTTGCAACCTTGGGGTTTGAAGCCATGGTTAACATTGGGGTGTTTGAAGCCATGGTAAAGTAACAGCTGGCTGGGAACTGCGGTGAGTGAGAACGCTAGCACTGCCTAGCAGGACGAAGTCATTTCACTGAATGCTGAAAGGTACAGTCGCTGGCCTGCAAGTTGGTGCGCCTATCTGACACGGGCATGGGAAGAAGCAAAGGTAATATATGCTTTGGGGAAATTGGTGATGGGTGAATTGTTGAAGCATGAAGCTGGCTTTTAATATGTAAAGGGAGGTAGTCACCGTGTTCTCAACGCGACTAATTGATTGATGATAGTGGTCTGTGACTGTCCATCTGCAGTTCTTAAGCATCAGGCTGCATAAGGCTATGATTGTGCTACACTAGCATGAGGTTGTTCTGCATTTGGAGCAGGCATGTGCTAGTCCAGCACAATCACACCATAACTGGGCATAACGGTCGAACAGCAGCCTGTCTTCCTGTTTCAGTCAGGAAGCGAATAAAATCAGTTCGTAAGCCCAGAGAGTGAGAGAGAGAGGGAGTCTTGGAGGGAATAAAATGAGTTGGTGAGCACACACACACACAGAGAGAGAGAGAGAGAGAGAGAGAGAGAGAGAGAGAGAGAGAGAGAGAGAGAGGTTTTGAATGGTTTTAGCAGCAATGTCTGTGCTACAGGATGAATAGAGGGAATGTTCTTGACATTGCTATCCTTGTGGAGAGAGAGAGAGAGAGAGAGAGAGAGAGAGAGAGAGAGAGAGAGGTTTTAGAATGGTTTTAGCAGCAATGTATGTGCTACAGGATGAATAGAGGTAATGTTTTTTGACATTGCTATCCTTCATGTGAAGGATTGGTATAATCTGTGTCCGCGTGTTTGGAGTTCAGTTAGTATTCATACAGAAGGTTCATACAGAAGTATTGCCACGGTACTGGCATGTAGCAGCTCTTGTTTATAGCTGGTGCATTGGAGTTGGTTTTGGCTGTGTTGCCGGTGCTATCTTTCGGTGATACCTGTGGAGGATGTGAGTTGCTGCCTCACTCAGGCTGAGGAGGTCAGCCTGGCTGTTGCTTCCCGACAGCACAAGTCTCTCTTCGGAAGTCCTCTCACCTGCCATCGGCTTGGTCCCGTCATCTCTGCCATGTTATCATGGGATGCTGTACCAGGTTTGCGATGCTCCGTTAGTTCTCCGTCTGGCATATAATATAGCCACACCTGTTGTTAGGGTATGTCCCGGAATCCCTGCATTTTCAGGGAGGATTTTTCGACTTATTTTGGTGTTCCATTCCATCCTTTAAAAGGATTACGATGCTCGTGTTTCGGTCATTGGAAGGGGGGAGATGAAAGTGATAAAAATTTTAAAAACCAGAAAAATATTGGTAAATCATTAGGTGAAACCGTGTATGTTGTACGTTACGCTGTTTCATATGCCCTTAGCGTGCTTCAATTTTCAAGTATCGAAAAAAAAAAAAAAAAAAAAAAAAAAAAAAAAAAAAAAAAAAAAATCAAGTATCGGTGCTTTCCTCTGATGCTTCTCCGTCCTGTATTGTGTGACTGATCTCCTTGTTACGTTTGTCATTGTTTCCGTTTCCTTCCGGTTCCATCTGGATTTGAACTCAGGTCTGCATTTCAACAGTTTATAGGTGTACCAACTGAGCTACGCCTGTTGGTACATTTGTCATTGTTTCCATTTCTTGCGCTAATCAATCATTTTTGCCTTGTTGCCCTCGAAGAAGCATATGCTTGCTTTACGCCAATGGTGCTCATCTTCAACCCCTTGTCGTCTTTAAAGCAAAAGGAAGAAAAGCAAAGACAACACACACAAACTCAAGAAAAAGCAGGGCCTCCTCACGGTTCCGTCTCCTTTCTAATTCTGGCGAGCAACAGTTTGCGTGCCAATTTTTTTAATGATATTGGTTCTCATTCTCAGCGCTCCGGAAAACAATTCGACCTTTCTTTCATGGTGATGGTAAATATTCCCTGGAACTTTCCTCCTTCGAACGCGGATTGTTCCTGCGGTATATATCTATATATTATATGGCATTTACTGTCTGAAAGCTATTCATCGTAGCGTTTGGCCTTTTCATTTGTGGCGATGAATGTTTTCTTTTGAGAGCTGATTGTTTGTCCAGTGTATGTCTATAAGTTTTCCAGAGACTGCACACGGTAGGGTGCTGATCTGCATCTGCGTGTTGAGAATGGGGACGAATGAAGAGAAGTTACGTTGACGACATTGGACGGTTGACCTGCTTGAGGTGAGGAGAGAGATGAATGATGAAGTTGCATAGACTAGTGACGATGTCGACCTGCTTGTGTTGAGAAAAGTACGAGATGAGTAATGACGAAGTTTGAAGTTTTATGGACTAGTCGGGGCTCCGGTCGGATTGTTGGAAAGGGGATGAATCCTATGAATTAAAAGGTACACAAGTCTAGTCCCGCTGCGGCCAATGGCCGCAGGCGGTAACCTTCGCCAAGCATGTCGCAATCGAATGGAAGTCAAGGCGTGTCTCCTGAGACCCGGCTTATGCTTTAAAGTATTAGTAGATATTGTTGACTTCTCGACCAACTGGCCTAGCTCAGTTGGTACACCCCTGACTGTCGAAGAACAGACTTGAGTTCAAACTCCACCAGAAGCAGATGAGTAAACTACTACAATTCTGAATTAACGAGGGACGGCCAGTTTGATGATGATATCTCAAGGCTTGCGGCCCTTTTTTTTTTTTTTTTCAAGTTGTGGTTGGCTTTTCTACAGGTGTATGAAGGATTGGGCAAGTGCATCACTAAGACCCTCAGCAGAAAGTAATGAAGTCCACAGACTGCCATCTGCACCCGAATAGAATGCCCGCTCAGTATGTGACGCCCAACCTCACGCCCTGCGCGACTTCCTGTTTCGGAGTGTTAGTGGGCCTGGAAGTGCGAAAAGGGGTGTGCCAAGGATTTTTCGGAAGTGGGGGCGGAGTTCCAGGTCAGAACTGGAATCTCCTGTGTCAAGTTTCAGGGGTAGAAGTGCAAGTGTCTCTTTTGGCTCAGAGTTGGGGCGATGGTCGATCGTGCGGCCTGGCCTGGGTCGGGGTGGGGCACAACGGGTGTCTCTGTGGGAATGCTCGTACCGCTGCCGTCCATCGTAAGTCTCGGAGTCCGATGAAGACGGGCTGGGTTCTCGTCGCTCTGTCCTGCGATGGGTTCGTTGCGTGACCCTCACCTGCCGATACTCGCCGGGCTGCCGGCACTCCAAGCACGGCGGACGGGGCCAGAACCGGGCGTTGGAATCCTAGGGGACCACAAGTAACCGGTGGTAAGGGAGGACGCTATAGTAGGGAGGGAAGTCAGTGGTGATGGCAACGAAGCCTGGGGTTAGAAGGTATTGCCGGTTTCGGCTGTCGGGATAATCGGGAATTCGCGGGTCTCGGTTGATTGCCAGCTGGAAATCGCCCCTGCACGGTCGCTCGTTTTCAGTCCGGCAGGGGTACTCAGGGTGCTCAGGGTTCCGTGGGTGGCGATGTTGTCGAATCCGCTGTCGTCGGATTTGTTCCCTCTCCCAATACGCTCGGTATTCTGGGTCCCTCAGGCTTTCGCGATCGGTGATCCAGAAAGGGGATTCTATCGCCATGTCTCGTTCAACGGAATTCTTGCACACACATCTTTCTACGGGGCGAGATCGTAGCTGGCTTTTACAGGCGCGCGTGTAGATGGCAAGTCCGTGGGCGGCTGCCGTCTTACACGTGCGTGCACAACGGCCAGTTGATCAGATCCTAAGCTGCGCAAATAAACAAGGAGCGATCTGTCAGCGTATTGGCTCGACCATGCAGCTGGTTCCCTCAGGCAATCAACCTCGTTCCCGGGATGAGCTATCTTCAGATATACAGTCATGCATCAAAGGAAAAGACTATTGGACATTCACAAAGCATGCACACCCAGCGATTCCCGTAATCACCCATAAATTAGAAGTAGGAGATTGGGCGAGCCGTGCACAGTGGGCGCATCCGGCCAGATCCGGGCGGAGCAAGATTCGCAGACAGATACATATGCGTTAGCGATGGGTACTAGAAAGTGACAAAATTTAGATTAAGCTAACGCTACTGATCAAAAAGACAACTCGAAAGAAAGGATGCGAGCTCATTCATCACCATTCATGCATGCATACATACAGCAAAAAGTCCGGGATGATGCACTCGAGAAATTCCAAAAATGCCGCAACAAAATTAACCAACGTTGAAATCAAAATTTATACAGACAAATAGATACTGTTCCACCATATCCCCGTATCTCTCTCTCTCTCCGTCTTTCTCTTTCGATGCGGGCAGTCCGTCGCCCCGCACCCCCAACATCAACCCGAGTCGTCACCCCGCTTGGCATGAGTGTGCAAGCCAGCTTCGCCCACGTGCCACAGTCCGTCGCGGCCATGCGTCAACCCCGCGCACTCAGCGCCAGCTCGTCGGATTGCCCGACTCTCTACTCACCGTCTTTCTGCTTGTTAGCTGATCCTCTTGACCGCGCTAACTCCCAAGTAGATTAGAGAGACACCCAATCGCGCTTGCAAAATTTATAGCATACATGCTTGCGCGAAGGATACGGGATTAGCACTAAGTGATGGGAAAAGAGGGAGTGCCTACGTCTGCATGTCCAGGCCGCGGCGCTGGGGACGAAGCCACTCTCCGCGCATCGATCCGGGCATGCAACCGTGGGAACCACTCAGAACAGAGGAAGAGTGTGCATGCGAAGATGAGGCGGGAAAGAAAGAAATACGAAAGCCAACAAGAACAAGAAGATTACAATTGCGATCGCGCCCGCCAAAAACTACAGTTACACAGGATTGAGGTGCGGACGGAATCAGAGCCCAGACCCTGTCGGGTCACGGCGCGTGCAAGCAAGAAGCGTCATGCGGCCAAGTTGCAAGGTGCCTAAATTCCTAGTCTAAATCCTAATTGCAAAAAAAAAAAGGAAAGGAAGGAAAAACAATTCCGAGAGCCTGCCGGGGCTCGACATTAGTTCGAATTTCAAAAACGAAAATTCCGGCGCGCTGAGCGCGCCAAAATTCCTAGTGTGCATAGCAGAACAAGAAAGAAGCTATGGCAACTGTTATTTCTCGCGCTCGCTAGGGCGCGGTTACTTAATCGTCGGCGCGGGACTTTCCCGGCACCGGCCTGACAACTCCAATGAAAACGAAAAAGAAGCGAGGGCATCCAGGCAACTTTCCCCACCGATCCCGCTTGCGCCCCGTCACCCATCAAGGCCCTCCTGTTTCCCCACAGCAGCCCCGCGCGGGAAGTCGCGCGATCACAGAAGATAGTCCGTCACAAGTATATCTGTATTTGGCACAGCTTTCGGTCCAGGTGCAGTGATAATGACCGGGCGTTCTTGACATTTGAGGTGAAGACGGTAGTCAGGACACTGATCTGTTTGTCAAAAAAGGGATGAATGAAGAACTTATTCTTGACTTTCTTTTTTCTCTTTTTTGAATCCTGCTTTTTTTTGAAGGACAACACCTGTGGCGGGGATGATGGGGGTGCTGATAAGAGCAGACACCCCCCTCCAACCATGGGCTACCGCTTTATGATGGTTCCTTTCCATTGGTGGGGACAGTCATGAGGCGGTAGCCCATGGTGGGGGTGTCCCACGGCCACGAGAGAATATTGCAAAGAGTCGTAAACAAACGAGTTATTGACCGATATGTGAAGCTTTGCCCACCCTGAATTAAGCTTAGCTGACTGTCCTCGGCCTGTTGGGTCTTCTTGTCTTCTGCTTTCTGTGGGGACGAGTCTGATGACCATCATAGCCTTTAATTTACTGTCGAAGTCGGTGGCTGGTCTCTGAGGGTTTTGGTTTTTATATGATGAGCTTCATGTGAAGCTCTGCCCCTCCTGAATTACGCCCTGCCCCTCCTGAATTACGCCTGCTGAAAATCAGGTCCAGCGTCCCAGTGAACAGTACTGCGAAGAGCCATAAACAAACGAGTTATTGACCGATATGTGCAGCTCAGCGTGATTTTCTTTTTTTTTTCGGGAGGGGGGATGGATGTATTATTGGGGTGGGTTCAGGGAGGTATGGTATGGCTTTCACATACAAGGGTCAAGCTGAACGGCTTTTACTTATCTGACCCCCACCGGACCCAAAAGTTTCAGTTCAGCACCCCAGGGGGTTGTGGACTTCGAAATGAGATACGGACACGACAACCAAGAGGCCTAAGAAGATCTGCTCATTGGATGTCCCTGCCCAAATTGATAGATCTTGCATAGTATCGCGCTCGACAGCAGAAAGTTACGGGTTCAGGTTTCAGCTCGTGCAGGCAGAGCGTTTTCTGTTTGTTTTTTTCAATGTACGGTGGTTCATCAGTGCGAAAGTATCTTGCCTTGCAGTCTGTCCAGATT